GCATTTTCAAAACACAATTTCAACCTTGACATGAAATTGCATTTTTAAAAAGCGATTTCAACATAATGTGTGCATTTTGAAACTAATATTTCAATATGAAATTTTATTTTGAAGGTGTGATTTTAAAAATTGCATTTTAAGTGAATTTTCAAGAAATCGTAATTTAGAAAACATATTTTTTGGAATCACAATTTCAAAATAAAAAATAAAAATGATTGGTTTAATTTCAGAATATGTTTTTATTATTATTATTTTTTTAAGAAATAAAAATTAATTTGACATAAATAAAAATTAAAAAATAATTTTTAAATTTTTAAAAATTATTTGCACTCTTAGAGAAGATAAAATCATGTCAAAGTAATGAGTATTTTTATTTTTCATTTTTTTAATAAATTAGTTTTTTTTTTTTTTAATTTTTTTTTGTGGTAGAAATCAAATTCTCAAAACAAAACCAAACAGAGTTACCATATAGAGTTGGTATGCGATTCCATGTTGAAAAATATTTAAGATAGCAAAATTTTATTCAGTACATAAATGTGATTTCATTAAATAGTTAAGATGATAATTTTTATTTTTTATTTTTGTAACGCCCTGTAAATTCACCCTGTTATACAGACTATTAACATGGCCATAAAACCCCAAAAGGGTCATTTTTCTCATTGAACTGAGACTTGAGTGATTACAATTCAAATATTACATTTCCACAATGTTCGAGGTCTTGTCCTAGTTCAATGAACTAGATAACTCAACAAAACATGAGCCCCTAGGGCGTACAATTTTACAAGGTTACATACAAAAGTTCCATTACAAAATCCCAAAAAATAAATAAATACAGACAACTAGATGATTTTGTCTTCAATTAACTCCCCAAACGAAGCTAGAGCTAGCATTTGAACCGGTTCTTCATCGAGGCTGACCTTCCTCAATTCCTGAAAAATAATTTAGGGTTGAGCTATATGCCCAGTAGGAATACATTTATCTAGGCATCTAATTCCTTGAGCAAAGGTATGGCATCCAAGTGAAATAACAACACAATAAAAGTTGTTTTGCAATTATATTTATATATATATATATATATATTCCATATCACACAAGAACCTTTACAATCTAATTCAGATAAATTCAAATAGCGTTATTTAATTAAATAATTAAACATTCATAACTAAGAAATCAATTCACATACTTTCCATCACATGAACCCAGTTGAGAACAACCATTTCTTTTTAAAGACAACCCCCACATTTGCTGGCTACTATATGGCAGGGAATGGGCACCCTAAGAAAATCATCCGTTTTTCCACTTTCGCCGGCTACTACACGGCGGGACTGTGCGGACACCCAAAAATATTTTCCCACATTCGTCCAGCGATAAGTCTAGACAGGGCAATTGGGCACCTTTTACAACTCCCCGCGCGGGTACGACACAACACCACCTTTACACATTACCAATTCACACATGGACTCATGCATGCTCAATAGTTAAATCACATTTCAATTCCACAATTAAATATCATGTATCATCATCACAGATAAACATCACATAAAACTCAAAGACTAATAGCACTCAAGCCATCATCTCTTTAACTACATTAATACCCTCATTTTATCTCTCCATTAATCACTAAATTCCATGAGTCAAATGAGTATTTCAATAGCTAGGGAATTTTCTAACTAATTGAGAACATTGGGTTTCTCTAAATTTTGGGGGTTTCTTCCCCTTGTCACCAATCTAGTTCTTTAACCATATCTTCACCTATATTAGAGAGAGAAATTTAGGGATTTCAAACAAAATGTTAAGTAAAAGAGTAATTATGCGAAAAATGGGTTTTATTCAACAAAACTTCAATTAGTTTAACTAAATCTTCAAATGGGTTCCCAATCACACACAATATCATCAAATTGCTTCAAGAATGAAGAGATACAAGAGTAAAAGTATCCCTACCTCAACTATCAAGCCAAAAATCCATGCTCCCTCACGGATCTATCGCAACTCCTCAATCCAAACGGAAGATAATGCCAATCCTCAAGTGTTCTTTGTCCCTAACTAATGAATTTGGGTGGATTGTGATGGTAGGGAAGGTATTTGATGATGGAGATCTAGGGTTTCATGGGAGAAGGGAGAAGAGATGAAGTTTGAATCAAAGAAAGTGAGAGAGAGATCTAGAATCACCGGGTTTAAAAAGCTGCTAACGCGTTCCTTGCTCGAGCATGACTTCCTACGCTCGAGCGTCCAGACACGATTCAAAAGGCCCTGCTCGAGCGACAACTTCCACGCTCGAGCGGAGAAAGAAAAGTCTCAGAAGTTTTACAGTGCTACAGTGTAAGTACTGGGTGCTAGCATTTCACGATCGAGCATGACATCCCATGCTCGAGCGGACACGCCTGAAATGCAACAAAGTGTTGGGAGCAACAAATCCATGCTCGAGCGGCGGATTCCCCGCTCGAGCGGACCCAAAAAAAACAAAATGTCACAATTTTTATGTAATGAAATCATATGAATTTGGATTATGTACGAATACAAGTTTGCTATATTAACTATTTTTCAACATAGAATTACATTTTGAAATTGCAATTTCATTATTCGCTTTTTCAAATTGTGATTTGGTAAATTCATATTTCCTAAATTAAGGGGGTATTTGGAATGATCTAAATAAATATACTTTTTGACTTTTTGTGAAAAAATATAAAAATATTATGAGTTGGGTTTAAAATGATATAGTAGAAAGGTAATGTGACTCAAATAAGATGATTGTAACCCAAATAGGATAATGCGCTAAAATAGCATGTGCTATTTTAGCGCATGCCAAACACCCCCTAAGATTTCTTGAAAATCAATTTAACTAAAATCTCATTTTCAAAATGTGATATCCAATCTTATTTTTTTCATTTTCAAAATGACATACCCAATCTTATGTTGAAATCACGGCTCAAAATGAGTATTGAAACATCATTTTTGCATTAATGTTGAATTGTGTTTTGAAAATACAATTTTATGATAGTGTTGAAATTACGTTTTGAAAATGCAACTTTAAGATAAACTTGTATTTTGAAAATGAGATTTCAATATAGTCACGTTGGCAACTTCATGTGGGCATGTCATCATGAAAATGTATTTTGAAGATGCGATTTTGTCATAAAATTACATTTTAAAAATGTAATTTCAAAAAATAGATTAGCTTGTTAAATTGTTTGATAAGTGTGTTATTTCTGTAAATAGTTTAACTTTTTAGAATATTATGAAAAAAAACTCTTGTAACTGCTCCCTCTGCAACTCTGATGCTCGGTCACCTACCACTAGGAATGGCAACGGGGCGGGGCGGGGCGGGGCCGGGGATCACACTCCCCATCCTCGATCCCCGATTGTGAAAATCTCCCCGGCCCTGGCCCCAATCCCCGACAGGGAACCTATCACCATCCCTATCCCTGCCCCCCAATGGGGATCGGGTTTCCCCGACCCCGAAGATTCCTCGCCCCCCAAATCTGTTTAAACAGCAACACAATCAACAACAACACAATCAACAACAACATCATCATCATCCCCTATCAACAACATCCCCAATCATCAACAGATTGTAAAAAAAAAAAAAAATAGAAAATCCCCAATCATCAACAGATCATTAAAAAAAATACAAAAAGATTTGAGATCTGTGTCACAAAAAGAGAGAGAGAGTAGACTATCAGCGGCAATGGACGACGGAGGAGGCCATGGTGGACGAAGGAGGACGGTCGGCGTCGCGGACAGTGGCGATGGACGACAGAGGAGGACGATCGGAGATTCGGAGGCGATGGGTGGCTGTGAGTGCGACGACGGAGGAGGAGGAGGAGGAGGAGGAGGCGGCGGTGGCTTAGAGAAAGAGGAGGGGATAGTGGAGGAGGCGACGAGAGGTGGAGCTGACTGCGGAGAGAAGAAAGAGAGTGAGAGAGAGATTAGAGAGTGCAGGTGAGAGTGATGAGAGAGACAGATCAGATCATACTGTATAGAAGGGGTTATATATATAAATAGACAGAGGGGTGTTATGGTAATTTCATTTCGGAGAGAAATGGGCCGGGAACGGGCTGGGTCCGGGGCTGTGAAAGGGATCCCCGTGTGAGGAGAGGGGAAGTGGTGTGTGCAAATAGAGGCTCCTGACTAAAAGGCCTTTCTTCTTTCTTGAATTTACCAAATTGCCCATTCCTCTTCTCTTCCTGCTACTCTCTGTAACTACTCCCTCTGCAACTCTGATGGCCGGTCACCTACCATCGACCACTACAACGATGCCCTTTCTCACCACCTTTAACCCCTTCCATAGTCCTTTGTCATCCCCACTATCATTGTCACCTTGCTTCATTTCTCTCTTGCCACTCCTAGCAACCCTTCCGTACCCAACTACCTCTTTCACCCAAAACCTAACCACCAAAAAGCCCCTCATTGTTGAGACCCCAAACCCACAGCCCTCGGTGTTGCGGAACACAATTTGATGCAAGTGTCACTTATGCTTGGTGCAAGTACAAAATGTGCATAGGTGCAAGTGTATTTTCTACACAATGCAAGCGTAACTTGTGTGCAGGATGGAATTAAGAGAAGATTATGGGGGTCACGATTCCTATTTTTCTGTGAAAAATGTTGTTTGCCATAGTATTTTTAAAATATATATCTCATTTTATAAATAATAAAATAATCTCTCAGTATAAAAGATATGTATCTCATTCTTTTACCATCTTACGTTCTTTTTTTTTTTGTTTTTACCAAAAAAATTTCTTTATTCGAAAAGAGATTACTTCTATGGTATTTGAATATTTTTTATGTGTATATATAGTTTATATATCATACTGTACAAACATGTGTTTGTATATATGATGAATTTATTTTTTATTTTTTATTTTTTATTTTTTATTATCTTCAGTCCCTTCGATAATAAAATCCTCATTTCGTGGCCGCTTGTGTGTTACAATTGCACCTGTAGAGAGCACACATTATTTTTTGTTTTGTTTTGTTTTTTCCATTCTAGCTTTCAATACAAGTAACATTTATAAGAAAAGTATATAATTAAAAGGCAACAAGTACACTCATGCGCACAATCACAAACATGCAAACAAAAACAAACAAACACATACATGATTCCTTCTAGCAAACATGGATCGATCATGGATTATGCAGAAAGGAAACCGGGGACATGGATCCATCATGTATTATCCAGAAGGGACGGGTGTGGGGGGACCAATATGTTCATGGTTCCTTCCAGCATCAAGATGACACTCTTGATGGAAGGGCGCAGACCAGGATCATCTTGAACACACCATAATCCCACCTTCACCATTCTTTCCAATGTCTTCAAGTCTGCCCTAATTTCTTCATCGCATTCATCCCATTCATCCCCAACAAGCTTATACAACTCTCCGGTCACAAAGCATTTGTATACCCAAGTAGAAAGAATTATCTCATCTGCATTGGACACATTAACCTCTATGTTCCTCCTGCAACAGATAACCTCCAACAACACTACCCCAAAACTGTATATGTCCGCTTTTACTGATATCAAGTCTTGCTTCCACAGTTGCTGTTGCTGTTTTTGCTGCTGCCCCTGCCACTCAGGTGCCAAGTAAGATGACACCGGGCCAGAGCTTACTGTTACTCCTCTGGATCGTCCTGTAATGCTTGTCGTATGATTTGGTAGTAAAAGCTTTGCCAAACCGAAATCAGAGATCTTGGCAGTCCAAGAATCATCCATGAGTATGTTTTGAGGCTTTATACCGCAGTGAACGATACAGGCTTCACATTCTTCATGTAGATAGAGAATCCCTCTAGCGATATCAAGAACAATCCTCACTCTTTCTTTCCAACCAGGACGTCTCTGATGATCGGTTGCTTTGAACAAAACATTTGCAAGCGAGCCATTACTCATGTACTCATAGACAAGAAGCTTCCTCCGGCCCTCCACACAAAAACCAAGTAATTGAACCAAGTTCCTATGATGTGTTCGCCCGATTGCAGTCACCTCTGTTTGGAACCGGAACTCCCTGTGGCTGTCTTCATCTTCCTCTGGAACATTCTCTAGTCTCTTAACAGCAACAACAATATTTTTGTTACCGCCTCCAGATAGAGTCCCTTTATAAACTGTTCCAAACGAACCCTTACCCAACTCTTCCTTGAAACCTTGTGTCGCTTCTTCAAGCTCGTTGTAAGAAAATGACCGCAAGCTGAACTCTTCAGTCGTTAGGCCCAATTTTGTGTTGTTCGACAACTTCTTGTACTTGTGAACTCGGTGCCTGTATACAAAGAAAGTAGAACTTGCTATGACAATACAGAGGCACGCAAGGGAACCCAAACTCACAGCAAGAATTGAAATGAGATGCCGTTTGTTTTCAATCACAACTATCGGATTGGACGGACTATCCGGGGTTAATTGATGGGGAATTTTAGCAGCACCACTTGTTCCTAAACTAACCTTGATAAAAGCTGTAGTCGAATCCCTCAAATTTCTAGCACCGTATCTCAGTGGAAGCTTATGTTTTCTGCATTGTCTGCTAAAATACAGCGCTGCCCCACAATTACAATCTTCCAGGCAAGATTTCCTGCAATCTTCCTTCTTCATTGGTACAGCAGAGTAAGAATGGCCTCGCCACCTTAAATTCTCCAAACTAGTAATGTTCACTAATCCAGGACCTCCTTTTTCGCTTCTGCAACGATGTTCTGTAAAATTCCTGTAGCAACCCAGGAACTTCTTACCGGGGTTGAAAGGAACAAAGCCAGGATAACAATAACATTCTGGTTTAGAGCCGTTGCTCGAGCAATAACTGTTCAATCCACAGAAACCAACGACTTGACAGCGATCCTGAAATGCAGACCACTGCACTGACACCATTGAGCCCGTCTTATTTCTCACAAATCTGTGTGAATACAACCTAAAAATCCCATCATCATCAAGTGTTGCGCGATAAATTATTTCATTTACAGAATGGTTAATGTTCCCCACAATTGAGGAGATGGAGCTGTTCGCCAAAGTATGTTGTATATTGGAAATATTTTCACCGAGGAAGAGAACACCATTAAAATTGAGATTCAAGTTCGTGTACGAATTCATTTTTAGATCTGAAGTATCAGAGGCCCAGTAAGCGTCAGCAGGGTCAGGGCGAGTACTGTTTACTGGGTAGGCGACGAGATTTTCATCGTCCTGCATTAGAAGGCAATAACGGCCACGTGAGTGGTCTGATGAGCTTGACACACTAGAAACTAGTTCTCCATCACGGTACAGAGTTTGGTTTCCTAGTATGGTGTCAGTTGGGGAATCAAAGCTTTGCCAAATAACAGAAGAATCGTTGTCGTACAACATGAAATTGCCAGAGTCGAGCAGATGAGCAGAGACAGCACGACGGCTTCGGCCTGTATTGACATCAACATTGAAACCAGCAATATCCAGCTCTGTGGCTTGCTGGGTATGGTTTAAAATGAGCCTACCATCACTGGTAAACTCAATTGTGGAGTTTGAGGACACAGGTGGGTAGTCTCGATTTGCAGTCCAGACAACAGTGTTGTTTGGGTGACCAATTATCCATATTCCTACAGCAAATCCGTTCTTTTCTGGGTAGAAACCGAATGCGAAAAGGCCTGAAGGTGAGAGCCATGAATTGGGTTTGCGGATGGGGGACAGAGAAGAACCCAATCTTATTACATTGGAGGTCTTTTTTTGAGCTTCTATGGCTGCAAAGAGGATAAAGAAGATCAACAGCGCAACAACAATAGAAGCCATGAGAGAGAGAGAGAGAGAGAGAGAGAGAGAGTTTTATTATTTGCTAGTAGAAGCACTAATAGAGCATACAGCTAATAGACATATTTTCCCAAATGAAAAGCACAAGAAACCAAAAGGAGACCAACAACCTCTGTGCTAACATAAAAATTATTAAACACTTTGTGGAGTATTATGTGGTTGTTTTACCAATGAAAAATTACAACACACTCAGATAGGCGGTTGCCTAAGATCCCCTTTCTTGTTTTTTTGGTTTTTTTTTTTTTTGAAAAATTGTAATTCAGTGTAAGTTTTCAAAACAAATTGCAAATCAGTGGTGAAGTTTATCAATAGTAATAATAAAAGTGACAAACTTTCCTATGATTTTGTAATTTTTTTTGCCTCATATTGTTACACTCTTATGTTACATTTGATTCATTAGAATAAAAGTTGAATGCAATGAAATGACCATTCTTTTTTAATGCTAAATAATGATTTCATTTGTAATGTTTTTTTCATTATTTTTTTAATGAACCAAACATGACATTGGACATTCTAATGGAATGTTTATTCCATTCCACCATTCCAGTGAGCTAAACACTATTTTAGAGTTTATTTGGTTAACCAAAATAAATATGGAATGAAATGAATATTTCATAGACTCCATATGAATTGACAATTCTTTTATAATGATGAATAATGATTATGTTTTTTATTTATTTTTTAATAAATCAAATGTAAAAAGTGAACATTCCGTTAAAATAATCATTCGATTCTACTGTTATTCCACTGAACCAAAAACTATCTTAGTCCAAGGGCAAAGTTTAAAAATACTTATTGTACAAAGGTCTATAAAATACAAAGATTTTCTTGTCTAAAATCCAAAAATAAAGACTTCATTTCAAATAGCTATGCAAAAAAAGGAACAATATTATTGTCAAATGGCCTCGTAATTTTTTTATTTTTTATTTTCCAACGTCTCTCAATTTTAAAGGTTATTTTTTTAAAAGAAGACTGTAAAAGAATATTATTTTTCTTTTCTACTGTAATTTTTGAATTATTATATGATGATTTTTAAACTATTCATATGTAAATGAGATCCGATTGTCTAAAACTTAAATAAGTGTGTCCAAATATTATTAGATGTCCAAGTATTATTAATTTTCGAAAATTAATCATAATATATGATCTCTTGCACTTTTAGTAATAGTGTTAGTATCCATAAAAAAATTATTGGTAAATTATGAGTCAGTCCTATGTGACGAGTTTCAATACTTATAAGTCTTATACACTTTTTTTTAATATATCAATAAATTCAAAAATGCTTATTTTGTTCCTACACTTTTTGAGAATATTAATAAATAAAAAAATGATCAAATTTTATAGATTAATAAGTCTGGCCAATAGAATCAGAAATGTTTATTTTATTACAACACTTTTTGAGAATATTAATTATCAAGATTTATAGATTAATAAATCTGGCCAACGGGATTGGTGAGTAAATCCCCTAAAATTATTCATTTGGACAAATTGATGGGGCTCTTGACTAAGAATAATTTTTTTAAAAAAATTAAAGAAAAAAAAAAAAGTCTTCTAATAGGGTCTGCTTTAAAGCAAGACTTGACGCGCAAATCTGCATCATAGGATTGAGAAGAAATAAATAATTTCCAATAATGCTAGAGACATCTTTAACTAATTCCCGTGGCAAGAAGTTATTTGGTGATATTCAGCCATGAGCATGTGGTGTCTCAAGAATATCACGTGGTGCCCCACGAAGAAATTTCAAAGAAATGCACAAAGAAATTTATGAGCATCTCCAACTTGACAAAGAAAATTCAAAGAAATGGACAGCAAACAAATTTTTGGGCAAAGAAATTTCTTAGAATCTAAATCATTCACCTTGTGTGGACCGCCAAGCATAACATAGTCATATGATTGGATCATTTTTGTTATAAAAATATTTGAATAATTTATTTTTAAAATTATAATTGACGTTTGTAAGACAACTGCGATTGAATCATGTCATTATTTATAAGTAATCAAGTTAATATTTGACAAGGATGACATGTTGGTCAAGTCCAATAAGATGAATAACATAAATCGTATAGGCCTACCAAACTCTGGCATCACATCTCCAATTCCCAATGCAGAGAAGTTATTCCCAAAGATTAGGAATTTACAAGACAAGCATTAAAAATATATAAGTTTTAATAAGGAGTTTGCTAAAACTACTTATTAAGATGTTTGAAATTGTTCTATATTATTTTAAAAGATTACAACTATTTTAAACTTTATTAGTCAGTATCAAAAAAAAAAAAAATAAATAAAAAAAAATTTACATAAACATTACAAAAAATGAGTAAATTACAAATAAGTTTTCTAGTGCAATTTTGACACACAAAAGGATTTGCACCAAACACAATAATAGACTGTTAGTATAGAGACTTTTATACTATGCGCACAAGATCCTTGCATGGCTGAGAAAATATAATTATTTCTTCATTGTTCCACTAAAATACAATTTTCCCACAAAAAATTGGACATTTTGGGGCCTTAGCGAGCATCCGCATCAGGCTCTTTATTATGGTTTTGAAGTCATATTAGCAAGCCAGTGTTCCAAATCAGTCCTCCATCAGGCTGGCTATTGCAAGTGAGGTACTGTTCACAGGTTATACATTATTTTATTATTTATTCTAGAGGCAAAATTGGGCAATTTTCACCAACTGGTTGACCACCCGATCAACCACCTAGTTGTTCGTTGAATTTTTTAAATTATTTAAATAGAAAAGAAAATGAATAAAAATGAATATTTTATAAAATTAAATTTTAGAAGAGAAAGCCTGATGAAGTCTGTACATGAAACAATGCTAGCTAAAATAACAAATGTAGATTTTTTGTTATAATTTAACTCAAATTTGTTAAGTCTGATATGGATGCTCTTAGCCTAACATTTGGGTCGACTCTACTATGATGCTCATGTCTGTGGTTGGCTTTAAAGGAAGACTGGAAAATCCACTCCACAATTAATTTCACTAAAGTGAAGGATGGATCTAGGATCCTCATGTCTGTGTCTAGCTTTAAAGGAAGACTTGAAAGTTGAGTCCACCATAATCAAGGATCAAACTAGGATGCTTATGTCTATGGTTGACTTGAAAATCGACTCTACTATAATCAAAGATAGACCTAGGATGCTCAAGTCTTTAAAGGAAGGCTTGAAAATCGGCTCCACAATTGTGACGACCCAAACCCGTCCCTACAGGTTTAGCATCATAATTGACCATTAATCCTGGGATTACTGAAGGCCTCTAAAACAAATTAACAAAAGTAAATGGGCTAGTGGAAGCAAATATCAAAATATAATGTCCATAGAGTTATGCAGACGTATATGAGATGGAAAATATAAACTTGATTTACATATACATGTGACATCATAATTACATCAGTCTTACGTCACTCTTATACAAATAAAACAAAATAGGACTTAGCCTTATTTATATCATATATAGAAACTTGTCCAACAAACAAAAGAAAATAAAGTTGGCATTGAATTCATAAAACTTGACCACTAGAAACACTTAAGAACCTCCTCGGGAGGCACGATGGTTGGCTTGATAAAACAGAACTCCAGGCTAGCAACTTAGGCATGGTCCCGTGCCTGTTCACCTACATACATAAATAATACAGTGAGCTAGAGCCCAGTGAATAACAACAGAGTAAAGGGTTTATGAATGATGTCCAAAACAGATTTAGAAATCAGAGTTCATATCAGAAACAGATTCATATTCACATACTTATATAGATTTCATAAATAGCTATACGTAGTACATCCATTAGCTAACAGATCAAATTGGTCATAAAGACCTACGTGCATAGTCGGTACCGATGACCATAAAGGTCAACATCTTTGTGCACATATAGGCATGGTATTGTTACCCCTAGGAGAGGGCCACGTGAACATAGGCCTCAGTATTGTTATCCTCGGGCAAGGGCCACATGAACATAGACCACGGTATTGTTACCCCCGGACAAGGGCCACGTGTATATTGGCCATGGTATTGTTACCCCCAGGCGAGGGCCCCATGAACATAAGCTACGGTATTGTTACCCCCGGGCAAAGGCCACGTGCAAATTGACCACAATATTGTTACCCTTGGGCGAGGGCCACATGAACATAAGCCACGGTATTGTTACCCCATGCAAGGGCCACGTGAACTAAGGATGCCACAATTACATTTCAGAAAAATGGACATTCATTCATGATTTATAAAATAGCATTTCAGAAGACATATCATATCATTTCAGTTAGAAAATACGTATAATCAAACATAGCTTTACATAGTTGTTACTTATAGATAGCTCTAGAGGTAGAACAGATTACTTGCACAAAATAGATCGATCAAGCGGGTGTTAACACGTGACCTACAAACACATGACAGATACACTTGAACACAAGTGCCATTGGCGCTAAACTTATTATTCTTCATTATAAGCGGGTGTTTCTAACTCTTATCCTCATTATTATAACTTAAATATGGCCTAGGAATGCCTAGGATGCAATGAGGATGCAAAATTATACTTTAAAACATTAGCCAAATTTTGAAAAATACGACAGTTCGCTCGAGCGCAACTTCTGTCGCTCGAGCCGACCCCTTGGTCTGCAAAACTTCTGAGAGCTCACATTTTACACCCGAGCGAAGATCTTGGTTGCTCGACCCAAGACTGAAAACAAAGTGTGGTCGCTCGAGCACAAGTTTTATCGCTCGAGCCAAGGTTTATGTCTGTAAAAGTACTAGGAGCTCTCATTTTACGCTCGAGCGCGACTTTTGGTCACTTGAGTCATGGCTGAAAATAAAGGGTGCTCGCTTGAGCGGTCTTTTGGTTGCTCGAGCCAACCATCAATCTCTGTAAAACTTCTGAGAGCTTACATTCTTTGCTCGAGTGCATCTTCCACCGCTCGAGCGAAGAATGCGAATTCTGGAATTTCTAGATTGCTCTCTAAGCTTCAAAACTCAATTTATTTGCATCAACACACATTGTTTTGGGCCAAAACTTGAGAAAACATGTGTAAACTTGTAAAACCTCATGAATTAAAGATCATTTCACAAAATTAAGGCCCAAAATCAAGTCAATTATGCAAAACCAAACTTGAAACTTGAAACTTGAGATATGACACATGCAAGAATTTACATGCCGTCATTCCTTTCAAAACATGATCAATTGAGATGTTAAGCACAAAAACATGTTGAATTCTTAAAACATAGCCAAAAGAAGAACATGCACAACTTCAAAATGACATGAGATATGCATGCATGTGATGATCTCAATTTCCAGAATCCAAGCTTAATTCTTATGGTTCAACACCTAAACCTCTTGAATTCATTCACTATTATCTTGAATATAAAGGGTAAGAGTATGATTCTCACCTAGAGTTCCCAATTCCCTTGAATTCTAGTAATTTCTTGCTCAATTTCACCAATTCCCTTCAATTCTTTTAGCAATTCCTAGCTTGATCTCAATTTCTTTTCAAAGTTGGCTCTAATCTTCCCCTCCTCTCTCTGTCTCTCTCTCTTTCTCTCACGGTTGAGAGCTCAAAGATGATGAAGGAGTGTGTGTAAATGTGTCCTAGCATGCACATTAGCCTTATATAGGCTTGATTAGCATCAAGTTAATTATGTGTAATTAGTTCTAATTAATTAATTCTAATTATTTGATTCCGAATCAGTTTTTAATTAAACCTACCATAAAATTCTAAAAATCCCAAATAACACATAAACCTAAGCAATTTCGTGTTCAGATGCCGATAAGACCTTCAATTCGCATGTTTAAACGGAAATTCAGACATATATTCCTACATCAGATAGATATAAGTACAATTAACACAAAACACATGCAATTAACTCAGAATTTCTTCTTAATTATTCATTAGGCATTCTTAATCATGGTTTATTGACTAATCACAAGTCAGGGTTATTACAGTCTTCCATTCTTAAAGAGTTCGGTCCTCCAAACTCAAAGTACCTTCATTTGGGAAGAATGCCAGGTCTAGGGGGAACAAATCAGGATATCTCTTCATCATGTCTTCTTCTGTTGCCCACATCGCATACGTCTCTCTATGATTTTGCCAATCAACTTTCACCAACAGGATTTCTTTGTTTCTTAGTCTTTTGATTCGACGGTTAACAATCTGTATTAGTCGTTCTTCATAAGTAAAATCATCTTTCAGAAGTACATGGGTCAATTTAATGACATGAAGTGGATCTCGTAAATAGTCTCGAAGCATAGAAATGTAGAAAACGTTGTGCATGTTTTCCATAACTGGAGTTAAGGCCACTTGATACGTTACTGGATTGATTTTCTCAATAATCTCATACGGGCCAATGTAATGCGGTGCCAACTTGCCTTTAACTCCAAACCGTGTCTGGCCTTTCATCGGAGTTACTTTAATGAACACACGGTCACTGATGTCATATTCTCTATCTCTTCTTCGGACATCCGCAAAACTTTTTTGATGACTTTGAGCGGTTTTCAAACGTTGCTGAATCAGTTTTACTTTTTCAGTCGTCTCTTGCACAAGTTCTGATCCCAATAACGGTCTATCGCCCACTTCAGCCTAACAAATCAGAGATCGACATTTTCTACCATATAGAGCTTCATAAGGAGCCATGCCAATACTCGAATGATAGTTATTGTTGTACACAAACTTAGCCAAAGGCAAATAGGTCTCTCAATTTCCTCGGAAATCTAACACATACATTCGCAACATATCCTCCAACGTTTGAATAGTTCTTTCTGATTGGCCATTTGTCTGTGGATGATAAGCACTGCTAAGTCTCAGTTCAGTTCCCAAGGCTTATTGCAAACTCTGCCAGAATCTCGAAGTAAACTTGGAATCTCTGTCAGACACAATGGATACTGGCACTTCATGTAGTCTCACAATCTTATCAATATAGATATTAGTCAATTTATCCACATTATAAAATGTTTTGACAGGGCAAAAGTGAGCAGATTTAGTCAAGAAATCAACAATAACCTAGATAGAGTCCATATCTCTTGAAGAACAAGGTAGACCGACAATGAAGTCCATCGTAATATGCTCCCATTTCCATTCCGGTATTGGAAGCGGCTGAAGTAATCCAGCGGGTCGTTGATGTTCGACTTTCACTTGTTGGTAGTGCAAACATTTAGCTACAAAGTCGGCAATACACTTCTTTATGCCAGGCCACTGAAAATTCTATTTCAAGTCTTTGTACATTTTTGTGTTCCCTGGATGCATAGAGAATTTAGACTTGTGGGCTTCAGTCATAATACGCTTTCTCAAGTCTGAATGATCTGGCACACAAAGTCTATCTTGGAATTTCAACACGTTGCCCTCAAACACAAATCCTGGTCTTGGTTTTAATTTAATCTCATCAACAATCTTTTTCAAAAATTCACCTTCTAGATGTTTTCTTTCACTTCTTCCATTATGGCTGGTTGTGCAGAAATGGCAGCTAGAACCCCACTGTAACAACCTCAACCTGTGATTAACTGTTAAACCATGATTAAGAATTCCTAATAAGAATTAATATGAAATCACATGTTAATTGTGTGTTATATGTGTTGATTGTATTTATATATCCATTGCAGAAATAGCTGTTTGTATTTCTATTTTGACATGTGAATTGAAGGCTTTATCAGCCATTGAATGCGAAATTGACTACGTTTATGTATTAATTAGAAGTTTTAAAATTTTATGGTAGATTTAATTGAAATCTGATTCGGAACCAAATAGTTAGAATAAATAATGCCAATTTGATTAGTTTAAGTTAAGCTTAATTAGCCAACACTAACCAAGCCTATATAAGGCTTCTAGATGACAAAACACTCTCATTTTGCCAACTTTGAGCTCCCAAACGTGTGTGTGTGTGTGTGTGTGTGTGTGTGAGAGAGAGTGAGTGAGAGAGAGAGAGAGAGAGAGAGAGAGAGAGAGAGAGCGAGCAAGAGAGAATTGAGATCAAGCTTAAGGTTGGAAAGAATTTGCTAGGAGACTTGGAGAGCTGCTCAAGATTATCACTAAATCTTAAAGAATTGAGAGCTCTAGGTTAGAATTCAAACCTTTAGTTTGTAATTGAGTTGGTTAATGCATGAATTCTAGCGAATTAAGCTATGAGATGCATGAAATGAACTAAGGATGTAAGAAAGAAGAGTTAACCATGCATGCATGTGCATTTCATGGAGTCTTGAGGTTGTTTTCAAAAGAATTCTCTCATACATGTTGTAATTCTAGCTTGGTTTTAAGAATTCATCATATTTCTTACCATTTGACCTTAATTGATCATGTTTTGGAAGGTTGAGTTCCTAACAATTCATGCATGTTATGTTTTAAGAGTTTCAAGTTTGATTTCGAACAATTGGCATACTTTTAGGTTTTGATTTTGCGAAATGATCTTTAATTCTTGATGTATTCTAAGTTTAGACATGTTTTCTCAAGTTTTGGCCCAAGAGGATATGTTTTGGTGCTTTGAAATCAAGTTTTGAAGCTAGGAGTGCAATCTGGAAATTCCAGAATTTGCACCATTCGCTCGAGCGGTGGAGTCTACGCTTAAGTAAAGAATTCGAGCTCCTAGTACTTTTGCAGAGTTTGAGGGTTGGTTAGAGCGGCATAATCTGTGCTTGAGTGACCATCCTTATTTTTGACTCTCAGCTCGAGCGTAGGAAGTTGCATTTGAGCATAAAATGAGAGCTCCCAAAAGTTTTGTAGACCGCTCGAGCGACCAAAGTTGGGCTCGAGTGAAGACCCTGTTTTCAGCAAATTTGACAAAGTGTTTCAACTTATATTTTGGCATCCTCATTGCATCTTAGGCATTCCTAAGCCTTAATTAAGACATAATAATGAGGATAAAGATTAGAAACACACCAAGAGGCTTGTGTTTCATTGTGTATCCGCTATGTGTTTGTGTAGGTCACGCGCCATAGACCAGCCGATCTGTCTGCTCTGTCCATTTTGCTATCGGAGCTATCAGTGAGTAACAATTTTGTAAAGCTATGTTTGACTATGAGTATTTTTTGACTGAAATGATATGATTTGCTTTCTAAAATGCTATTTTATGAATCATGAATGAATGTCCATTTTCTGAAATGTAATTGTGGCATCCTTAATTCACATGGCCCTCGCCCGGGAGAAACAATACCGTGGCTTATGTTTATATGGCCCTCACCTTGGGGAAACAATACCGTGGCTTATGTTTATGTGGCCCTTGCCTGGGGGAAACAATACTGTGGCTTACGTTCATATGGCCTTCGCCTAGGAGAAACAATACTATGGCCACTTGTGCACAAGACATGGACCATTGGGGTCGTCTGTACCAGCTATGCATATGGTACCAGGACCAAGTTGATATGATAGTGTAGACACCCCATTTTTGACCATCTTCAAGGCTTGGATGTCATCGTTTGAACACGCGATGATTATCTATACTTGTGTTTGTTTTGAGTTTCGAAAAGTCTTGGCTGCGCGCCTTGCCTTAGAATCTCTTAACTTCTCTGCTTTGTGTCTGGTTTTGCACCAAGAGCTTGTGGATGTGTTCCTGAGGGAAGGGGGTAGCCTGTCGACCAAGTATCCTGCCCACCGGCCACCTTGATTTTCAATCGGCCAAATGTGATTGCCGGTCGACCAATTTGACTGCCGGTCGACCACTTTGATAGCCGGCCGGCCAAGTGTGGTTTTCAACAGATATCTCTGTAGACAGTTGGCAGTTGTCATTCCAGGCCATACCCCAGCCTATGCCTGGACGTGGGAGTTCTGAGGAGCTGCAGATTGATATATTTCTATATCAATCAAGCTCTCTTATAAGAGGAGAGGAAGAGAGATACAACTTGGAAGAAAAAATTTCCTCTCTCTCTAAATTCTCAGCTCTCTCTCTATCTTTCTCTTCCAAACCCTTCAAACCCTAAGGTTCTTGCCTCCTTTACACTACCACTCATAGCCTACAACCTCCATACTCCATTCCAGCAACTTGAGGCTATTTTTCAGAGCTTAGGAACACCATTTCTCGGACCAAAAGCTGCTGGAAGTTTGGACTACAATGGTGAGCCTCATTTCTCTCTCTTTTTGCTCTATTTTGCATGCAATCTTAGCCTTTGTTTCTTACATTTTTGGGCTCCGAACTGAACTGTAAATAGTCATATTTTGAGCTCCTTTTCATGTTTGATTAAGGACCTCTTGCTGTTTGAGGTCTCCTCCTCCCCCTTTGTGTTTAAACTCTCTTTTAGGTCTATTTTTGCATGATATTTTAGGCTTATTTGTGAGCTGTTTTGGACTTGGTCATAAACTGTGAAATGTCTTTTTTTGAGCCCCTCTTAAACTTTGTTGAAGGGCTCTCCTCTGTTTGAGGCATCTACTACCACTTGCCTCTTTATCCCTCTTTTAGGCCTTTTTCTTGCATGCTGATTTAGCCTCACTTTTGTTCATTTTCAAGACTTGATGTAAACTGTAAAGTGATTCACTTTGAGCCCCTCTTCAACTTTGTTGAAGGGCTCTTCACTGTTTGGGGCTAGCTGCTGTCCCTTGTCTCTATTCTCTCTTTTAGGGCCATTTTTGCATGATAGATTAGCCCTATTTATGTTCATTTTTGAGGCTTGTTATAAACTGGAAAAAGGCTTGTTTTGACATCATCTTCATGTTTTATTAAGGGCATTATTTTATTTGAGGCCACATGCTTCCTTGTATGCTTGATTGTCCCTTGTTTTGAGCCTTACACCTAAGCCCCAATTGCATGCTTTGTTTGGCCTTCTAGCCATTGAAATCCAGCAGATTTTCAGTGGTTGGAACACTATTTTGAGAGCCAAGATTAGAGGGGGGTGACCCCCTCTCTCCTTCTCTTGTTTGGGGGCCTTTTTGGCCTTCCAAAGAGACCCTACCTTGCATGCTTCAAAGTCACTTTCCAGGGTCAATTTGGTGAGTTTTAGGACTACCATATTTGATTTTCATAGTTTTTTATGCCATGCTAAATGTCTACCTTGCATGTGCTTAATAACTCCCTGCATGGCCCTCCAAAGTAACTCATTATTTTTGCATACCATGGTTGCATATCAGTGGTTATTTGGACCTATTTTCACATGATTTATTCACTGATTTTTGTTGGTTTGGTGAGATTACATTTGCTTCATATACTTGCCATGTAAACCATGATTGCTAGTCAAGATTGAATGCTATTTTGTCCACCACGCTAGCATCTTTTGGCCATGCTTTGAAATGGAAATGTTCATTTTTTGGGACTGCCTTGGCTCTGTCTTCATGCTTCATGATCAAATAATGCATGCTTTGTATAGCTATAAGTCATTCCATGTGCCGTTTACACATTTTACATTACCGATTAGTCCTTTAATCGATTAAGTCCAAGGTGATTGTCCTCTAATTGAAAGTGAACTTAAACCACAAGCACCTTGAGC